ACCTCAAGCCCCGTCACTCACCTCCCTGCTGAGACCCTGCCCACCCCCCCAGCCCACTCCTTTCCCCTGCCCCCAGCCTGCTCACTGGCAGCTCTGTCCCACACACTGAACCCTTCATTTTTAGCCCCACTCCAGAGCCTAGGGGGATCAACAAAATCCACTAACCGTGGAACCCCAGGAGAGTTAAGCTGACGTGAGGCACCTCAAGCCCCGTCACTCACCTCCCTGCTGAGACCCTGCCCACCCCCCCAGCCCACTCCTTTCCCCTGCCCCCAGCCTGCTCACTGGCAGCTCTGTCCCACACACTGAACCCTTCATTTTTAGCCCCACTCCAGAGCCTAGGGGGATCAACAAAATCCACTAACCGTGGAACCCCAGGAGAGTTAAGCTGACGTGAGGCCTTGAACGTCAGTCCTCCCCCCGCCATGGGTCTGGAGCACCAGGGGAGTGAGGTGTATAGTTGAGGGCTACATCAGTGAGGCTTGGGGTTTTTTTTCCCCCTTCTTACTTGTGTAGTCCCTGATTTTTCTGTGGATGAGTGGCCCCTGACCCAAAAAAGGTTCCCCACCCCTGCCATTAATAAAGATAATGTTGAAACCTTTTTGTGTAGGACATAATATTGTACTTTATTTAAAAATGAAGCTTGGCCAACAAGGCCCCAATCGGGGCCAAGCCACCATCTGTCTGGAGCATTCTGTCCCCAGCCCCGATCTTGGGGCAGACCCTGTGGTCCAGCCCGCATCTGGCCGCAGATATGGCTGGAAGCAGCCCCCCTTCTGCTGCAGCATGGGTAGGAGAGGGCACGATCTGCAGCAGACAGAAGGGGGTTGGCGAGCATAGTGACCAGGAGTTGCAGCCTCCTAGTCACTATTTAAACATAGTTTGGCCACCCTATGCTAGAGAACAGTTTTCAAAAATTTGGTTTAAATGTAGTTGGCTTCAATATAGAAAGAGCTAATGTTTGGAGGGAACACTCCATCTTATGAAGGTTATACCACACTTAACTAACACAGTTTAAAACCATTTAAAACCAACAATGTTTGTTATGTTGAACCATGTCATTCTCAGCCCCACATTTTACACAGCATTTAGAAAACAAAATAAGGGAAGATCATATGAGCAGGTGGAGTAGGATGTACTTGATTTGCAAGATTTTTGCAAAGAAACTTACTGTATCCACCCTCTTAAATGAATTTCCATCATGTCGATCTCTTCTGCTACTGGGATGAGGTGAACTATTTCCGCCAGTATGTGCAGAGCCTGGGCTTGGGACGGGAGAAATTTGTCCAAGAACCTGAGCAAATTTTGCTTCCTTTTTATTAGAAATCAGATAGCTGATATCTTTGCTAAGAAATCCCTCCACTCTCTAAATTTAAAAGAAAAAATGAGTAATTATCAAAATTATATGCTCTTTGATTTACTTAATGAACCAAGAAGCAATATTCAAATACATTTTATAAACTTCAGTTTAGATAATGCTGCATTAACAATAGTGAAATCAATGGTTAGTATTACCTATAATTAAAGGCGATGACCCTTTGCATTATAGAACACTGTTTCAGTTGCTTATAACTTTGACAAACTTTAACCACTCAGGCTGAAAATTTACCAACTGCTCGTTTCAAGCTGAATTTTCTCAAAACAATCCTGCAATTTCAAAGAATTAGGCTAGAGGGGGGAAAAAAGGACAGGTCTACACTACAAGGACAGGTTTATCTAAGCTACACAATTTGAGTTCTATCAAGAGAGTAACTCAATAGAGTAGCTTAGACCTATTTATTAGAGGGTCTACACTGTGAGGGGTCAACAAAAAACCTCTCCTGTTGTATCCTCTTATTCATCCTGTTCTGCTGGAGTACTGGAATCAACAGGAGAGTGATCAGTGGTCGATTTAGTGGGTCTTTACTAGACATGTTAAATTGACTGCTGGTGGATCAATTGCTGTTCTGTCAATCCACCTCATAGAAGAGACAACCCCTAAGTTTTGCCAATGTAACTTTTTCTCCAACTAGTTCTAGCACCCTCTTGCTTTGAAACAGGGACTTGAAAGTTAGCTAAGGTGACATTTGTGTCTGGTTTCTGTATTTTGTCATCCCCATGAAAATCTGCTCAAATTACCTACATTATAAAACTTAACAGATCTGCCTTCAGATCAGGGTTTGAATACTATGCAGCAGCTTATGCTTGTGGCCACCCATTGAACAATAAGGATAAAACAAATTATTGAGTCGCTGCTCATTTGATAAGAACCATTTATTTTGTTCAATGATGCATTGGCCCCATACAAAAAATATAATCATATAATTAAAGACTATCATAATGCATGTGTGCAAACAGGCTAAATTAAGTTAGCATATGCAACATTATTTATTGAATTTCCTATTGGTAGAGTACTTTAAATTGTAGCCTTAAAATCTTCTTTCAGTGTAGGATGTTTGTACATAACTATACAATAAAACTAGTACAATTTATAAATCTACTTGTATTGTTTTCTGAATAGAAGAATTCAGATTACTACAAAATGAGGTTACAGAACTGAAATATGAATAGTTAGAAAATAATGAGTATACCTAATTTTATTAGTGAAGAACAAAACTGTCAGATTCACAGATGAACACAATATGTTGCAACATGGTTTCTGTAAAGGGAAATCACGTCTCACCAATCTACTAGATTTCTTTGAGAGGATCAAGCAGCATGTGGATAAGGGGGATCCAGTGGATACAGTGCACTTAAGATTTTCAGAAAGCCTTTGGCAAGGTCCCTCACCAAAGGCTCTTAAGCAAAGTAAGCTGTCGTGGGTTGAGAGGGAAGGTCCTCTCATGGATTTGTAACTGGTTAAAAGGAAGAAAACAAAAGTTAGGAATAAATGGCTAGTTTTCAGAATGAAGAAATATAAATAGAGGTCTCCCCAGGGATCTGGGACCAGTTCTATTCAACATATTCATAAAAGATCCAGAAAAAAGGGGTAAACAGCAAAGTGGCAAAATTTGCAGGTGATACAAAACTACTCAAGTTAAATCCAAAGCAGAGTGCGAAGAGCTACAAAAAGATCTCTCAAAATTGAGTGACTTGGCAACAAAATAGCAAATGAAATTCAACATTGATAAATGTGAAGTAGTACACATTGGAAAATATAATCCCAACTACATCGGGCACCTTTGGGACCTAAGTGGTGCTGGATTATCAGATATGCCCAAGTACCAGGAGGTTCTATAAGGGGGCATACTCCCAAACCAATCCCCCTCACCCCGCCACCTTATGCTCTGGTCCCGGAGCAGCTGCCTGTGTTCAGCAGCCGGCTGCTAGCATGTGCAGGCTGGACGCTGTGCGCGCTGGGGACTGTGAGCAGAACGGCGCAGGCCGTGAGCGCGCATGTGGCTCACAGCGGCCCGGCCGTGAGAGCGGCTGACCTGAGCAGTTTCGGGTTCAAGTTGACACTGGACTATCAGGAGTGCCAGACAACTGGATGCCGGACTATTGGAGTTTTACAGTATATAAAATGATGGGGTCTAAATTAGCTGTTAACACACAAGAAAGAGATCTTGGAACCACTGTGACTAGCTCTCTGAAAACACCCACTAAATGTGCAGTGGCAGTCAAAAAAGCAAATAGAATACTAAGAATCATTAAGAAAGGGATAGAGAATAAAACAAAATATCTTATTGGCTCTATCCATGGTGCATTCACATCTTGAATACTGTATGCAGATCTGGTTGCCTCATCTCAAAAAAGATATACAGATTGGATCTCCCTGGTCCAGCACTCTCAGGATCTGACCAGTCCTGAACAAGGGGATTTACCAGACCAGTGGAGGGCTAAGGCTCCAGGCTGGCCCCTCTGTTGCCCCAGCCCTGTAGGGCTCTGTAGCTGCCACCAGGGCCAGATCTCTGCAGCTGCCTGGCTACAAAGCTGGAAGTCCTCAACTGGGACTGGAGCACTGTGGCCAGGGCCAGAGCTCTCTGGCTGCCGCTGGGGCCAGAATGGAGCCAAAGCTCCCTGGCTGCAGCCTGAGTTCCATGGCTGCTGCTGGTATGGAGCTGCCCTGACTCTAGGGCCGGAACTCTGCTGCACCGCCCAGCTCTTCCCCACGACACGGGTCTCCCAACTGAGTCACTGTCTCCCCACCCCTCCATCATGCTCCTGCCCTGCCGTTAGATCTCCCTGTTCCTGCCGGACCACAGATATTGCTGGACCAGAGAGTCCCGGTTTAGAAAGATACAGACTGTAACGGAATTGGAAGAGGTTCAGAAAAGGGCAAGAAAAATGATCACCATAGAGCCGCCTGCCCTCCCATCCTGCGCTGCCTCTGACAGAGACGGAGCAGTGCAGGCGTCAGGGGGGAGCTGATATGTATGAGGAGTCGGCTCCATGGAGCTTCCTTCCCCCCTTGGTGCCTTCCACAGAGGCATCTTGGGGGTGGGGTGGCAGAAGCCAGTGCTCAGGGGCATCCAACTTAAAAGCTGGCTCCGCACAAGCACCGGCTCCACCTGCTCCCCTCTTCCCTGCACTATCCGAGGCAGCAGTGCGGAGGAGGGAGGGGATGAGGAGCACACAGCAGAGGCTGCTGCAGAGTAGCGATGTTAAGAAGCTGATATTTAACTAATCAAGTAGTTGATGGAATTTTTATTGACTACTCAATTAGTCGACAGGCAGCCAGCTCAGTCCCGGTTCATGCTAGGTCCAGGACCAAAATTGGCTGCAGCTCTGCAATTTAAAAGGCAGAAGGAGCTGGGCAGGCAAGCAGCCCATCTCAGTCCTATTACTGTTCTGTTGAGAAAGCACAAAGTGCAGCAGGAGCACTCTCTGTGGAGGTTGGAAACAGAGTGGACTGCACACTTTCAAGTGTGCACCCAGAGATAGTAGCAAATAATCATAATTTTTAACTGAAGTTGAAGGCACTAAGCATCTCACAAAATCGGGACCATGCTGCTTCCCCAAGAATAGTGGTAAAAAATAATACCCATTATCAGGGCTCAACAAATTAGGCAATATACTTGCCTGTAGCGAGTAGATTTTAGCCTGGTAGGGCCACGCAGCGCGATTAGCACACGCGCAGCGCGGTCTATGCATGCACAGGGAGTGCTTCCACGCAGCTGGTGAGCAGGGCTCGCCGCTGCTTGGCGAGCCCTGCCCATTATATTTTTTTGATAGTGCACTTCTCCTCAAAAATAGTTTTTAAAGTTCTGGGTTAGAGAGAAGGACAAGAAGGAAGAGAAAAAGATTAAAATGTTAAATTCAAAGGGATGCCTTAGTGTTGAAATCACACTGCTGTGAAATTTCATTCCTAAAATTTCATACAACACTTAAACGCCAATAACACAATTCAAGTTGGCGGTTTCCCTGTATGTTCCTATTAGTTCACACATCTGTAGCCATTAAAATGTTCTGAAAAGCAGACAGGGTAAGCATCTCCTATAAACTGCTGCAAATATAGGGATCAAACATTTTTACTGCCAAGGTTTATTTTTTTATAGAAATTCAACTAATCCCACATTTACGTGAACTCAGCAGTTCCACTGTTTTGTGTGTGAAAACTCTATCCAGTGTTGAGCTTGGAGCAAGTTGTTCCTTCAGGCCAAAAATGTAAGAAGATTAAATAAAGATTTAGTGGGATTTTGCAGAATTCAATTATTGAGAGTTCAATAGAATATTTGTAAATATAGTCTTTGGAGATTACATTTAGTTAAAATTTAGGTTTCAATTAAATTCCAAAAGGTTTAAATCTGGATAACACAACATTGCTATTGCTTGATTAAATAACTATAATTTAATTTCCAAGAAGTGCTAACCAACTTTCACTTTCCAGAAGTAACTTTCCAGATGTTGCAGGCACAATGCATATGACTAGATACAATGTAATAATTTTTCCAGTGCCCCAGGTGTGCATGGTGCTTCACAGTCAAAAAGAAAACAGCAGAATTAGCCACCAGATCATAAACCAGGGGTGTCCAAACTTTTTTCAAAGAGGGCCAGATTTTATGAAGTGAACATGCGTGAGGGCCGACCATTTTGCCTGACATTCTTTGAACCGTTAAAATTAAACGCAAATTAACTATTTTATGCAAAGTTTATTGCAAACGGCATACTTTTCATTTCATCACATGGATGACAAATCTAAACAGGTGTTAAATCACTCTGCCTTTCATATCTGAAGGCCAGATGAAAAAAAAATCCAGGAAGCTGAAATATATGTCAGGAACATTGTAAAGTACATTACATATTATTGGTAATAAAGGTTGTCTGTCAACTTTTAAGTTCAAAAAATATGAACAGGAACATAACACCAAGTATACATGTTGTGTCCAAATATATTTATAACTGATTTAGACCAACTGACTTTAACTGAGATTTTACAATGTATTC